TGGAGTGATGCCCATCAGTTGACAAGCTGGGCCCCCGCATAGCTTCTGGCCAGCTTTTTGGTGTTTCATTCTTAAATATTAACAAATACTTGTCACTTGAAAAAAAAAAAAAACCCAAAAATACCTCCAAAAGGAAAGGTAGTACTAAAACAAACAGAAGAAATAAACTTACAGAAACCAGGAACAATGCAGGGAGTAGAAGAAAAAATTTTTTAAAACCTATAATTAATGTATTTTGGGATTTAAGAGAAAATATGGCATTCATGAAAAAAGAACAAATGCTATAAATCAAATAACATTCAGAGAAGAGCAATAGGGACATTTGGAAATAAAAAATATGTAAATATGCAGAACAACATGGATAAATCTCAAAAATTTGTTATTATGTTAAATAAAAGTCAGACACAAAAGAGTACCTATCATACAATTCCATTTACGTGAAATCCAAGAACAGACAAAATTAATCTATGGCAATAGAAATCAGTAAGTAGTTGTCTAAGAAGTGGGGAGGAGAGTTGACTGGACAGGGGCACAAGGGAATTTTCTGGGTGGAGGGACATGGTTTACATCTGGTTTGGGTGGTATTTATGAGTGTATTAAATCATCAAAATTTATTGAACTGCTTATCTAAGATCTGTATGTATGATTGTATGTTAATTATATATCAATAAAAGCCATATTTGCAAAAATGAACAGTTCAGTAGAAGGAATAAGCCTCTAGGTCTAGCTGTCACTTTACAGTAAATGCTAAGAATGGAGGAACAAGTTCAGTGACACCACAAGGACACAGTCAGCAAAATCCGACTGTGGGAACACTACAGTTTGGTCAGTTTTTTTCAACAAAAATGTATGGGGTGGGGGAGAGAAAAAAGACAGAGGAGGAACCTATATATTCAAAGAAATTAAAGAGACGTATCCATTCGTCACACTGTGTGAAACTTATTTGGATCCAAATTTAAACAAACAAACGTTAAAAAGTTTATAGGACAATTAGGGAAGTATAAACATGTCCAGATATTAGGTAATACTAAAAATTGTAATTTTCTTCACCCCCAGAGTAAACCCCGTACCCTTTAGCAGTCACTCCCATTCCCCTCCCCACCACACACACCCTGAGCAACCACTAATCTACTTTCCGTCTTTATGTAATTGTCTATTTTTGACATTTCATATAAATGGAATCATACAGTATATAGTCATTTGTGACTGGTTTCTTCCAATTAGCATAATGTCTTCAAGGTTATCCATGTGGGAGCATGTATCAGTATTTCATTCCTTTCTATGGCCAAACAATAGTCCATTGTATACCATTAACATTTTACTAGATTTGCATTATCGTATGTCTACCTGACCATCATCCATTTAATCCATCTTCTAATTTTTATGTATCTCCAAGTAAGCTCACTTCCCTTTTTCCCAGCCCTCAGCACCTTCAACTTGCATACCTCTCTAATGAAGATCACCTCATGTGGTTTCTCTAGGTGCAAAGGAGGCTGGGAGATGGTATCTTTAGCCATCTGGCCTCTACAGCAGAGGAAGGCAAGGGGAACAGGAGACTCGGAATGGATTTTGCTACCTTGGCATATTGAGTTTCTCAGTCTCATCTACATCTCTCTCTCCAGTGTCCCCTTTCACCACAGGAGTCCACAAATTCTATCTTTCAGAAATGCCAAATGTCTTGAAGTTCCCTGCACACTACAAATTCTTCCTGACTTCATGTCTTGCACGTGCTTACTATCTGAATACCTTCTAGGTGTGTCAGAGTCTCCCCTCATGATTCAGCTCAGCCATGGCTCTTCAGTGAAGTATCTCTAACACACACACACACACACAC